CCGCGTGTATGGGTACGGGGTCGTATGGGGTGTGAGCAGTGTGGTTTGGGGTGTCTTCCCATGGAAAAGGTGAGTCAGGTTGGACTGTGACCCCCTCTCCATCTCTGCTGGTTTGTGTGTGGTGTCTTCACCCTCCCATGCCTCTGGGTTTGTGATGGATGTGGGGAGGCAGCAGGATGTGGGGTGACAGGGGAAGCCTGGGGGGTGCTGCAGTCCTCGGTGGCTCCCCTGTGTGCCGGGGGATGCAGGGCTCGGGCCGTGCTGGGGTGACTTACAGAGGCTGTGGAAGCTGGATGTTCTCTGTGTCTCACCCCTGCAACCTCCTTTCCCTGTCTTTCGTAATTTGTGGGAAAGAGGTAGAGGGAAAAGGGGGTGTAATGAGGGGGGCAGGGGAAGGTCTCTCTCTCTTCCCCGTGATGCCGATCCCATGGCTGCCCGCGGGGCCGGCGCGTTATGTGCAAGAAGGTCATGGGGATTAAGGCAGCGAGAGCTGCAGCACCGAGCTGGCGGGGGAGAGATTGAGGTCTCGGCTGGGAGCAGAGAAGGGGAGGGCAGGGAGAGAGAGCGGAGGACACACATGCGCAGGGGAGCCGGGAGGCAAGGCGGCAGGCTGCCTTTGGGAAAATAAAATAAAATAAAAGCAGTGCCAAGTGGGGGAAACTAGGAGGAAAAGGGAAGGTGGCCTGGCTCGCTGCCAGTGGTGGGGAGGCAGCCCTTGTCGTCCCAGCCGGCTGGGTGGGTGATGTCCCCTCTGGGTGACGTGACTTGGAGGGTGGCTGGTGAGCCCCGAGACAGCTCAGGACGTGATTAATGCGGGCATTCTGTCTGTCTGTCCATCTGCCTGAGCTTGTTTACAGTACAGCACATCATGCTGGGAGCAGGCTGACTGCGCCAGGGCTGCTGCTGGGCACGGGCGTGGGGTACTCATGCCCCCTGCTCCTGGGTGACTGGAGTGGAGCCAGCCCGTGGCCCGGGGATGATGGATGTGATGTGACCTACAAAGGCTCTCCCATTGCTAATCTCTGTGGCAGAATTTCTTCTTTCTCTCTCTGCTTCTCAGTCTAGTGGATTTTTTTCCTCTTCATCCAGCCACTGCGGGATTTTGGCTTCCCAGAGGCGCCAGGTGAGGGAGAGAGAACAAGAAATATGTTTGTTTTTTAATTAGGCACCTAGTCTGCTACAGAGAAGCTCAGACACCATTGGCTTGCTTGCCAAGCTCAGCTCTGTGCCCTGCAAGGTCTTCCCAGGCAAGGAACCCTTCCCAAGGACTAGCATCTCCTTGGGACCCTGCGTACTTTCCCCCTGCCCATCTGACCTTGACAGAGGACAGGATGGGATTTATTCCAGACATTGCCCTTAGCCATAGAAATTAAAGTCCTTTTTCAGGAGCTGGCGGTGCTCCAGGTCAGTGGTCTAGCAAGGGAGGCAGGCATGGACATCGTGGTGCAAGGCTATGCGTTCCTTCTGCTTTTCCACCGGCTTGGTCTTGTCTGTCCTAAGCGTCTCTCCTTTTGCAAAGCAGGGGAGCCACAAGCTGATCCCAAATATTTACTTGTAGTTTTGGTCTTTTTTTTCTAAACTTGAAACCAAGAGGGTCCTTGTGGGCAGTGAAGTCCTCTCTCAGGTTGTCACAAGCGTCAGACTCTTTATGGCTCCTTCCTTAAATTGGTTGAACTCTGCTGAAAAAAAGACTAGTTCATGGGTTTTTTCCCTTTTCACTTCCTCTGGGAGACGGTTCAGTGGCTCCAGTGGTTGGGACCTTCCACCATAAACCTATTCGTGGCTGGGGTTTTATCCATTTGCTTTTGTGATCTTGTGCCCTTCAGTTTAAATGGTGCTTTTCCCTCCCTGGTGTTTTCCCCTGGGTGTATTTATAGACTGCAATTGCATCCATACTTAGCCTTTCTATTGCCAGGCTGTATAAGCCAAACTCTTCTGGTAGCAAAGGGCTCTCCCTTCCCATGGTCTCTGTGAGAGTCCTTTCTTTCACCTGCTCTTGAATGCACGGGAAGCATTTTGCTGGCCATCTCCTGAGATCTCATTTGGCTTTAGCCCACTCATGACGTGAGTGGTCCATTGTCTCCCCAGAGCAAGCTGGAGGCTCCTTTAGGCCCATTGCATGTGATGAGCTTTCACTGAGAGCAGAAATTCTCATGATTGTTTCCTCAGGCATTGACCTTGTGCTTGGGTCATGCTGCTTTTTAGCAGACTTCATGATGGCACAGAGGTGCATGTGGCTTTTGACCAACAGTCACATAAACTGGCTCCTGCCCAGGGAGTTTGCAGCCCAATTGAGGTGGCGGCAAATCTCCAGGGAGAACTGCAGGATCAGGAGCAGATGGAATGACTGAAGATTATTTATGTTGCTCCTTGCTGAAGAGGAGATAGAATAAATTTGACAAGGAGAATGCTAAACTATGGAAAGAGGTTAGCAATTCCAGAGCATCCATCCACCATAACAGTGTTGTGAGGCAGCTCAGGTTTCCTGGGTGCTTTGGAGGTCAGGCACAGAGGAGTAAGTATGCATCTCCCTCAGAAAGGTTGCCTGATATGGGAGGTGGTGAGAAGTGGTGGTCCTGCAGGGTACCTGTGTCAGGTTTGGGTGTTCAGCCTCAGCACAAACCATTTCTCTGCTGCTGCCTGCCCCAGACACACTTGCCTGAGTGAAGCAGGACCTTGTAGAGCAGGGAGGCAGCCCTATGGAGCAATCCCTCCTGAGCATCTCTGCTGAAGGTGCCTCCAGCCGCATCTGGATTTTGCAGTGGGGTGACCTGTCCAATTTGGCTGAACTGAGGCTTGCTGACAAAAGCAATGTGCTGCTGAAAGATCCCAGAAGCTTCCTCACCTCCCTGTAGGGAAGGGCAGAACAGCTCCCTCCCTATTCTCAGTGGTGGCAGTGAAGAGAAGTCAAGCAACTTGCCCTGTTGCAACATTGCCACTGTGGCTTACTCCCAGTCCTGGTCTTCATGCTGTGCCACTTCACTTGCCACCAGCTGCAACACAGAGGCATGCTCTGAGCTGATCTGCATGGCACAACTGGTGCCCCACAGCAGACAAGACATGGGGCTCATCTCGTTGGGTGCATGGGTGGGTTTTTTACCACTTTGACATACAGACCTGTCTTCAGTCTGTTTAGGTGACCCAGCAGCTGGACCTATGGGTACTGCAGCTATTGGTGCTACAGCTGGAACTAGTGGCGCTGGGTTACCTACACCAAGCTGGAGCTGCACAGCTCCAGGATTGCTCTTGAAGTAAAGCAGATGAGTGTGAGCACATCCCTGCCTAGTCCCATTGCATCCTGACCCACAGTGCTCTCTGCAGCCAGCACAGGGGAGCTAGGTGGCTCCTTTGCAACCCCCAGGCATTGGAGTTAGCACTGGCACCATAAATAAGTAAAATGCTAATCGAAACAGGTTGTTCCAGGTGCTCCTGTCTGCTTGGAAACCTCCTTGCTGGGGAAACTGAAGCCCTGCTTGATGTAAAAGCCTAACAAGGCAAAAGTAGCCTGCTTTTTGGAAGCAGGCCCAGTTAGGTGGCTTGAGTAAGAGTATTTCCAACTGCAGTTGCACAGACAAAGCAGCCTATTAAAACTTGTCACACAGATTGAGGTGCCAAGTCCCTCTCCAATGCCAAGGTCACTGCCCCTCTGAAGGGAGATTTGGTGAGGAGAGGCGCTGCCTGCCCTCCATCTCCTTCTCCATCACCTGCTGCTGTTGCCACTGTGTCCTCTGGCTGGTGGGAGCATGCAGGCCTTTTGAGCTGGGACAGGAAGTGCTCTCCCCTGTGTCTACAGGCATGGCACATCCCAAGCAGCTCCAACTGAGCAGATAAGGCAGGTGGAGGACAGGAACCAGTCCCTGACTTCACTATGACAAGCTGGCTGGCACCTGCAAACCACAGCAGGGCAGGGAGCCACATCTTCTGCCTTGCCATCAGGTCCCTGGCTTGCCACGCTGACTCCTGGCTTACGACACAACTTGCCTCTTCCCAAGGACACCCAGTGTGAGCTTGCAACAGCAGTTCAACTGAGCCTTAGAGCCTGGGGGCCTTGTTAGTTGGAAACCAGCTGCAACTGGGCTCCCACCTTCTTTCTGTCCCAAGCACACTTAGCTGAGATGTTTCCCATGTTCCTGCACCATAGGTCATGCTCTTTGCCTCTGCTCCTCCACATCATTTTTGCCTCAGCCACCATGCTCGCTGTGTGCTTGTGAAATACATTGGTGCACGATGAAAGAAACAATGGTTCAAAGCACACACTTTCAGTCAAGCCCTAGGTACAATTCTTCATGGGATGCCCATGCCTTGGGTCAGCTTCAGAAGGGGTTTTGGGAGTTTGCTGTCACTGGGAGTGGGTGAGAGGCCGTATCAGAAGGTGAACAATAGGTGTGCACAGTTGCATGATGATTCAGGTTGGGTACAGCAGGTTGCATTGCTTCCAGCATAGCATTTCCAGGAAGGATCTTGGAGCAGGAACAAATCTCTGATTAACAGCATTTGCAGATAAAAATCTGAGAAGTAGCATGTAGGGATTAAAGACAATCAGAAACATGAGCGAAGAGTAAGATAATCATATGTGATCTGCTGTTTCAAGACATGAGAGGCACACAGGTGAGAAGCAGGGAAACTGCATGGTGACAGGACATGGCTAAGGCAAACATTTGTGGCAAGACAAGGCAACAGAGGGGACTAGTATGGCCTTGAGAGAAGCAGGCACAGGTGGCTGTGGATGCAGTTCTCCACCTAGGTTGGCACAGCCAAGCCAAGATGGGAGAGATGTGTTGCTAGAAAGAAAACTGAACTTTTCCACGTGGAAAAAGATGCAACTTTCAGGTGGCGACTTTGCTGAGCACTGATGTAGCAATGTAAGGACCATCTAGAATGCACAGAAGGACCTGGATACCACCGTGGAGGTGTGGTCATGGGGAGTTGTCACTAGTAGAAGTGGGACAGAAGATACTGTTTGACCATGGGAAGGTCATGAGACCTGTGGGACTGGACAGAGCTTTCTGAAGTTGCTCTCTTGGGCTCAGCCTCCTCTTACACCAGTGGGCACCTTCCCATGGCAGAGCTTTTCTTCATTCCTGCCCAGAGTGGCAGGCACAGCTGCTCCATCATCACCTGGGGCTTGGGATGTTGTGGGTGGGAAGATTTACCCAGGCACAGGTTTGGTGGGAGGCAGAAGGGTTAATGGTCAGTCTGTCAGCTGCCAAACCATGTGTGAAAAAAAACCTGGCTGGCCAGAAAAGCCTGTCCCAGATCCCGTGGGAGGAATTAGGGATGTGGAGCCTTTCTCCCTTCAGTCACCTGCTCCAGCTCAGCCCCAGCTGGGGAGCTGGTGCCATGTGACTGATGGCCAGGGAGGGTGAGCTAGGAGGGAGGTGCTGGCATACCCCTGCTCTTCCCGTCCCATGTTCAGGGGAATTGGGTACAGGGAGACTGGCCCCCTGCAGCACCCACACAGGGCTCAGACACGCTGTCGAGACTGTGGGCAGGAGTTGTTGCTGCCTGCGTGGTGCCGGCTGGAGGGAATAAATAGAGGCTGCCTGTTTCCAAGCTGCCAGTCCCATGCATCTCAAAAGCTGCATATGTTTTTTTCAAAATGAACAAAATACAAGTAGACTTAATGACAATAATAATAACAATCCATGTCTGTGCAGGGCACTCCAAAGCTTTCCAGGGACTCCATTTGCAAGTGTCTGAATGAAAATGAAAACCAGATCATCTCTGCCAGTTTATCATTTGCACTCTCCTCTGCTCTTGCTTTCTTTTTAAACAGATTTATTCCTGGACATTACCAGATTAGACTCGGAAGAGGTTATTGCTTCATTCTGCCTGAGAGGGATTTGATTTGAAGTCCCGCAAGGAATATTATGTCACCAAACTATTTCCTCTCTATAACAGAATAAAAAGGGGGTGAGAGAGAGGGAAAGGCAGCACGCAGTGCAACAGAGGCTGTGACCAGAGGGCACTGCAGCGAGACCAAGCAAGCAGCTCAGCAGAAACCCTCTTCATCCTCATCCCCACCATAGCTATCATAGGGATCTTGGGGATGAAGTCAGGAGGCAGCATGACAAACTCCTGTGATGAGGTGCAGGAATATCCTAGTGCACTGCCGGAGGCTGGTCGTGCTTTGCATCCATCACATGATGCTCAGGAGCATCTGATGCGTGGCTGGGGATGGGCAGCATGGTGGAAAGCCTCACATGATGCTCAGGAGGTTTTGCCTGGCTTCCTGCAGAGCTGAGCCTGCAGCAGTGAGGTGGGAAGGGACTGGAGAGCCTCTGCTCTGAGGGCTCATCTCTCACCTTTACCTCTGTCAAAATCCAATCACCCAGTTTAGTGAGAGAAAAAAAGCTGTTTTGTGGTAGGATTCAGAATTTTGCCTGTTCTGCACTTTTCTCCTTGTAATGAGCCCTTACATGCCTGTAATGGCCAGCATGAGCCCCTCGAGAAACGAGAAGAAAACTCACAGCTTCTCCTTGTCTCCTCCCTGCAGTGCTAAGCATTAAGTTAATTTTGCTGCGTCTTTTGGCAGGTTGCTCAGTCTCTGTCAGCTTTGCAATGTGCATGGCTCTGGGCTTTGCTTCCTGTCTTCAGAGCTCTTAGATGAAAACTGGAGTTGAGGAAAATGGTTGCAACCTATGTGGATGCAATGCTAAAGGAGTGGTGAAATGGAGAAAAGCCATGTACCAGCAGCAGCACTGAGCTGGTCAGGTCTTCTCCAAGTGCTGTTTTCTGTCCCTTTTTGAGCATAGCTGAATATATTACAGCTTGTTAAATGTGTACCTCCAGACAGGCTGCACACCTGCCCAATTAATGCTTCTCTAGGAGGCTCAAAGAAACCCTCTTAACCTAAAAATCTAGTTACTTCAAGTCCTGTTAGCTGACTTAAGCAGCCTTGCTGAAGAAATGAGGCCACTCGAGTGCACAAAGCTGGGGATGGGTGGCTGCTTTTTGTCACTGAGCGCAGAAAAGCAGCTAGTGATCTCCCTCTGTGGAGTGAAAGGATAGGCTGCGTTTGGGAGCCATAGGATACCTCCTCTCAGCCTGTGGACAAGCCAGTTGCCTGCATCTCAGTGCTCAGTCAGGAGAAGACTCCTGCCATCTTCTCCTCACCTCCTCTTTGCAGCTGGATGCATATTTTGGACCATTTTGTCAGTGGCTGTAGGCAAGACTTTGTGTAGAGAGGATTTGCAATGCCAAATGGGAGGAGAAGAAAGAAGCAGAGGTAACACAGAGCCATAAGAGGCTTGTGCTAGTGCTGCTGGTCACTGGCATTTCTTTACAAGTGCTGCAGATGTGATGGGAATGGGAACATAAATGCATCATGCTTGAAAACTCTGTGCTTTGTTCATAATCCAGTCATTCATACTGCACCTGCTGCTTGGATCATCTTTGCAGGGCATGGATTATGAAATCATTGGAATCAAAAATATTTGCTCTTTTTAAGGTGACTTGCACATCAGTGAGCTTGCACCCGCCATGGATTAAGTGTGCAAACGTTTCTCCTAAGGGTTGCAAGATCTGAGCTCTGATAATTATGATTTTTTTAAAAAAAGAAAATTGTTTGTTGTAACAGTTACTGGGTACAGACATCACGGGAATAAAACAGGTGACGATGCATGTCAGCAGCAGCAGTGATTGCCTCTTCTGCTGTCCAGCTCTGCCTGCCAGTCTGGAACCTCTGGTTTGAGCCTGCCTGTTCTTGCCCAGTTGGTGGTATCCAGTCCAGCTCAAGGCTTCTGTACACAGCAGGTGCTCACAGCATTTTGCTGTGCCATCAGGGCAGTGACAGGCTGGCAAAGGGAGCAAAGCCTCTCTTTGCCCTCTCTGCAGTGCCAGGGAGTGGAGCATGGACCAGAGCTGATGCCAGGGGTGAGGAAAAGACAAGAGAGGAGACATCCCTTAAGCTACTGTGCTTTGGTTCATAGCAAGCTTTCCTAAGGACAAAAAGTACTTTAGGGTGGCTGTTTCAGGATGGGGAAGATAAGCATCTGCAGTGGCTAGTTCTGCTCATGAGTGAGAACACTCTTAAGTAAAATCTCCCCGGGAAACTCCTAAGATCATCTAAAATCTTGCCCGTAAATCATACCTTGGGCACCTCCAGGCTGTGAAATGAGCTTCTTTTTGACAGGAGAGAAGTTGGGGCATCTTGGCTGACTGAAGATGGAGAAAGGAAGTTAGGAATGCCACCTCTGCTTGAAAATTAGGGAGATGTTCCTCTGGTCTTGTGACTCTGAGCTGTGCCTTTGTGATGTGCCAGCATCAAAAGGTATGAAAGAGCAAATGCAAAAATTATGTTGCTTCTTTCACTCGAAGTTGAGAGCTCTTCCAGACCAGCAGCAAACCCAAAGATAAGAGCAGAAGGAAGATGTGTATCAGGATATGGGCAGAGTAAACAGAGGTGTCTCTGGGGAGAGGCCGTTACAGAAGTTCATTCATCCCGAATGAGTAAGCAGAGACTCAAAATACAACTCATTGCAAGGGCTGACCTGACTCAGAGGGTCGACATTTTACCAGTTTTGAGCCATAAACCAGTACTGAACACCAGACTATGCCACTTGTGAGGCTGTTCCTCATATTCCAAAGAGAAGATAAGCTTTCTGTCTAATGCTGTGGAAAATGGGACACCCACTTTGTAATCACAATATATGATGGTTGGTACTTCAGGTGTCAGCACTGGTGCTGGTCACAGCCTCACATTGGGATTTCGGTTCAAGAGGCTGTCAGCTCCCCCGCAGGTCAGAGGAACAGGGTGTTACTGCCAATGGTCCTAGGCAGACCTGTCAGCCCAGCCTGTTGTGAAGGTGTGTGAGATGTCCCACTGGAAGAGCCTGGCTGTAATTGAGTGCAATTTTGCTGCTTTCCAAACCGTTCAGGCTGAAATTTTGAGGATGAAACTTTTGCTTCTGGCAGAAGAGATTCTTATTTAATTTTTAGGGGCAATTTCTGCAAAATATTAATATCAATTTTCAAGAATAATGAGGAGGACAAATAAGTTACTTTCTTGTAAGCCTAAAAAGCTGTTGTGAATTTTCAGAGAACCTATACAGTCACTATGCATAGGAGCTCTGGCTTCCAGCAACCCAAGTGTGACCCAATTAGGAAGTCTTGGAGTGAAAAAATAGTATTGGTGTCAGTGGATACATGTTAGAGTTTGGCAGGTGAAACACAGTGTTGAGAATCTGCCCAAGGCCTGCTGGGGACTGTAAGGTTTTTCCTCTGGTTCTTGATGCCACAGGCCAAACAGCAGAGGTCTGTGCTGTGGATCTTGGGCATCCAACCCCACCAGTGATAGATGGTGTATTGGGTTGGCATTAATCAACAATTTTCCCTGCACTCACAAAGCTGCTTCTCTGCTTTCTTGGCTGTCTATTCTGGGTTAAGTGGTACTGGAGTCCTTCTGACCTAGAAAACACTGAGACCTAGCTCTATTCTCTGCAGAACACTTGGGCCCCTCATCTTCTTGTGTGCTGCTTCTCCTTGGGTGGTGGTTCTAAGGGTGCCAGGTCTTGCTGTGCAGACATCTCCCAGGCTGGCAGAGTGCCCTGGTCATGTGCTAGTGCATGTCATATGTAAGTTCATCCCATGCTAGAGGTCCCATTTCCCATCTCCCTGGAGTTCTCGCAGGCAGCGTGCAGATGGGCTGTTCCTACTGAGCATCTCCAGATGCCCTGCAAAGAAAAATCTGTACATGCTGCCTTAATCTTCCCCTCTTTCTCCTGTGGCTGTGAGGGGAAGCTGTTTATTTGAGATGCAGGACTGGGGCTGCTGTAAATAGCTCTCTGCTTTGGTGAACCTGCTGTGTCAAAGAGGGACAGACTTGTGGCAGGCAATGAAGCCTAAGCCCATGAGCAAAGATTAGACCAGCAACTGCGGATTATGGCATTCCTACCTGGACTCATCCTTAATTCTACCTGATTTAAAATAACATGCAGTGGCAGTGGTGGTTACGGGTAGGGAGGACTCACAGTGGCCCTGACTGGTGGACCCAGGGAGAGGGTGTTTGGCCCCTAAAATCCCCCTGAAAACACCGTAAATGGGGAAGGTTGGATGATGTTGGCATACAGGTGAGTCGGCAGAAGCGTAGGTGGTGTCATGGCCTGGCCTGATGGAAAACTGGTGAAGAGAGGTGTGTGACTTGTGGGGAGATGAGTAGAATGTGAGCCCAGCATAATAGAGCTGCAGAGCAAGCAGGGTGTGGGAGGGTGCATGGGGGAAAGAACATAGGAGCTTGATAGATAAAATCAGTGAACAAATGCATGATAGAAACAATTAATCCCCTGAAGGGAAAGGAGTGGGAGAATCAGTGCAGACTAAGAGGATTTCCACTACTTGGAGTCATTGTATGCGGGCATCCGCACCAAAACCATATCCCAATTTACACTCCATGTTGCCTCCCTGTGTGTCTGTGGGAAGCCACCCTTACTCCAGATTGCAGCTGCTTTGCATCGCTTTAGGTCAGATGGATAAAAAGGTTCAATCTAAAAATGTCCTATTTTAAGTTAATCCTTAGAAATAAAATGAGCCCATCTTCCCAGCAAATTCCCTGTGGCTACAGCACAGGCAAGGCAGCGGGACAGGAGCTCACCCGAGCAGAGTGGTACTTGTGAAGGGTGTCTAACCCCTGCAGAGCTCTGCTTCTCTGTGCTGGTCCAGAGAGATGTGGCTTGTCCTAACATGTCTCCTGCCTCCCTCCCCACCAGGTGTTCTCTATTGTGGTGTTTGGCTCCATTGTCAATGAAGGGTACGTGAACCGCCGGAACGAGGCGGAAGAGTACTGCATTTTCAACCGCAATCACAATGCCTGCAACTATGGCATTACCGTGGGTGTCCTCGCCTTCCTCAGCTGCCTTCTTTACCTGGCTCTGGATGCCTACTTCCCGCAGATCAGCAGCGTCAAGGACCGCAAGAAGGCAGTGCTCTCGGACATCGGAGTCTCGGGTGAGCTCCCTGGCCAGTTGGCCATAGTGTCTCTCTCCTCTGCTGGCAAGGGAGAGGTAGGGAGCTTCTGCTGCCCTTCAGGTCAGGTCCTTGCTTGCAGGAAGGTCTTCAGGTTCTTTCCTCTCTCAGGTTTTGTCTCTTCTTCTCAGACAATCTGGCTGATGCCTCTCGGCCCTTTAGGATCAGCAGGTCTTGCCTCCCTGCATGCTTGTGCTTGTTAAGACCAAGTGTGGATGCCTCTGGAGATGGTACTTCCTTTTTTCCCAACTCCAAGGGATTGAACCCTATATATTTTAACATAAAAGAAGTTGAGGGATTCATGCAGGCTGACTAAACCAGTCCTCCTAGGTTACCTGGCAATCCCTATGTGAATAGCTGTTCGGGACCTCATCCAGCCCTGAGCCTTATTCTGACTTACTGTCAGATCTCCCCATCCCCAGTAGTGTGTTGAAGTGAGTGTGATGGTGTATGTGTATGTGTGTGTGTAACATCAGTCAGCAGGATCATGAGGAGGAGCTTTGCTCTTGTGCCATCATCCTGAGTCACTCTCCTGGCTCTCTCCAGCCATCCAGGCAAACTGCTCAACACCAGGCCCATCCCCAGAATATGTCAAAGGGGCCAGGAGTGGAGTGAGGGCAGGATTGGATGAAGCATCTGAACTTGCTAAGGACTTTGGGCTTGCAAGTTTGTTCATGGTTAGCCCCTTGCCTAGCAGTCCCATGTATGGCTAAGAAGAGAAGGGGAAGGACTGAGACCTGTATTGCTGCCACTTAGGAATGCCCATTTCCCTTGCTGATGGGTATCTGCCCATGCCTGGCAAAGAGGGTGAGCCATCCCTTGGGGCTCTCCCCTGCCTTCACCCCTTTCCAGGGCGTGCAACACATTAATGATCCTTCAGCACTTGGTGTGAGGCCTTTATCTGTGCTGTCCTGAGCAAAAACTGGTCTCTGTGCCACTGTGGGCCAGCTGCTTCCCACTCTTCTGCAGCTTCTGTGGAAGGAATTGCTCTTCGCTTGTCCTTGCCAGACAGGGTTGTGAAGCAGTGGCTGTTTCAGAGAGCCCAGGTGATTGCTCCAGTACTGGAAGCCCTTCAGGCTCCCTCCCAAGGCCAAATGCAAGTCCTGTGATCAAACCAAACACAAGCAAATGAACTCTCCTGAGGTACTTTCTGCAGACACCTTGACAATTCAGCTGTCAGTGAGCCTGCCAGCTTGCCTGGGCTTACACTGGCTGCACAGTCAGTTTGGCCCAGTCTGCAACATACTGGTGGGTCTCAGAGGGCTGAAATTTCCAGAGAGATGTGATATGTGTATGTTCTGCTCACACATATCTTTTTGATGTCTCTCTCCTTCCGGTGGTGGTCCATCCCAGCCTTTTGGGCATTCCTCTGGTTTGTTGGCTTCTGCTTTCTGACCAACCAGTGGCAAGCTTCAAAAAAAGAGGACAACCCACTGAATGAGGGAGGGGATGCAGCCCGAGCAGCCATCACGTTCTCGTTCTTCTCCATCTTCACCTGGGTGAGTACAGCAGCCATGATGTTGGATCAAATGTTCTCTGTACTATTTTATCTTGTGGGGAATGAAAGGTGACTGGCTAAGAGTGATTCCCTCTAAGATCTCAGTTCACATGGTTTCTGAGAAGGAAAAGCAGGAGGGGAGGTGGTTAGGAGGTAAACTAGGGAAACAAGGACTCAGAAACTTCTGTGGAAGGTTTTAGAGCCTTAATAAGCACAGTGGGAAAGAGAGTCCCACATCCGAGTAAGGAGTGTCCTTGACAGACCTCTAATATGACATTGCACCAGCCAGCTCCCCAAGCACCATTATCATAGAATCATACAACAGTTTGGGTTGGAAGAGACTTTAAAGACCATCTAGTTTCACCCCCCTGCAACCAGCAGGGACATCTTTGACTAGATCAGGTTGCTCAGAGCCCAGTTAAACCTGACCTTGAATGTTTCCAGGGATGGGGCATCCACCATCTCTCTGGACAAGCTGTTAACCTGTTTTCCCTGTGTCAGAGGAGTTCAACAGCACTTTTATCTCACAGACACTAAGCAGAGAAGGGAGCTCCAGGCTGGGGGCTGCACCCATGTCCCTCCCTGGTTTGCTTTTGTCATTTGAGATGTCATCATTGGCCACAAGAGGCTGCAGTCAGTGTCCCTCTGGACTCTGTCTGCAGCACCACTGCAGCTCTGCCTCACTGGGTTGCCTCTTAGGAAGATAATGGTGCTGTCTTAAGACTGCCCTTTGCCCAGCAGTTCTTTATTGCTCATTTCCTGGAAAAACTCTTGTATGCAATGCAAATATCCTTGACAGTTTCCCCCCGCCCCTGAAAGCACCAAGCATAAGTGATTTTTTTCTGAAGTGACAGAACAGCACCAAACAGGAAAGGATTTTAACCCTGTCTCCATGCATAAGTCCTCGTGGCTGTATCTTCTCCTCTTCCTACAGGCCTTAACGTTGGGCAGGGGCCAGTTAGGAAGGGTGCTGTAAGCCCATGGAGCTGTCAAAGAGGGCTACAAAGCGTTGTGCAGTCAGCACCCTTGCCAAAGGGACACTAAGTGGAGTCAAGGGAAGGCAGCGTGTGTGTTCCTTTTGTGAGCTGTGTCCTGCACTTAAGTGCTGCAGAAAGCCCCTTGCAAGCTCCAGCAGAAAGTATGACAAGGAGTAAGATTTTTGCAAGGGGTGCCGTCACCTGCAGTGATCCTCCCTGATGCAAGGGCTTTCACCTGGCTAAACAGGCATCCTCTTCCCTCCATTCCTTGGGGGTTTTGTTTCAATCAAACACTCTGGTTTGCTCTGCCTTACTGATTCTCCTTCCCACCCCCCTCTCTCTTCTCACAGGGCTTTCTCGCAGTTCTGGCTTTCCGGAAACTCAAAGACATTAATTTTCAGGAGGAATACAACACCCTGTTCCCTAACTCCCCATCCTTGCTGCCTTAGTGCCTCCCACTGATGGGAGAATTTGGACAAAGGGGTGAAGGGATGCAGCTGGAGGAGGTCACTGAGCAGAGCCGGTTCCAACACCCTGACCACGGGTGTGTGGTCACTGCAGGGCATGGGGTGGGAAGACATGGGCCATTGAACTGAAGTGGGGTTGTCCACTGAACAGAGAATCTCCTTCTGGAGAGTTGGAACTGGCAATTTATTTTTCTCCTCTGCTCCCTTCTCTCCCTCATCCACACCCTAACTAATGCTGCATAACACCACTGTGCCTTTCTTTTGACAGCAGCTCAGACCTAGCACTTCAGCCAGGAGATGCTTTCTGCCCCCACCACTTTGTTTCTTGCATTTCTTCCCAGACTCCGTTTCACAAAAACCCCATCACCTGCTAGACTGCTCACCTCTATCAGGGATGCTTTGGGACAATGAGCCATATCTGCTGGGGTCTGCAGTGGTGAACCCTATGCCCAGGCTCCCCCAGTCCACCAAAAGGTGTCCTGCCTGCACTGCTTGGGGCAGGAGGCAGCAGTTCACTTGTTAACCGTCCCCTGGTGTGGGAAGCAGCCACGTAGCTCTTCTTTCCTGAGGTCTGTGCTGCACCATGCAGATGCTGACTGGTGAAGGGGTTACAGGGGGTGACCTCTACCTCACTACTCTGTGCCAAATCCTGCTCTCCTTCCTGGCCTCTAAATTGCTCCATACATCCAGCCTGACAGCCAAACCTTCAGCTGTGCTGCTGAGGCAGATTGCTTTGCCACAGGCAGGAGGGGTTGAATGGGATAACCACATGCCAATTGAGCCTCTCTGACCTGTGCCATGTCAGTGAAACCCCATGGCCAGGCAGGAGGTGCCCAGCACACCCCAGAGAGAGGAGGGAGGGCTGCATGCAGCAGCTATCCCTGCCCAGTCCCCCTCTGTCCCAGTGGGCTCTGTGGGACAGTCTAGTCTTTCATGCTCCTGGGATTGTCTCACCTGCAGTCTGCCGGGCGGGCCTCGCACACTAATCCGTAACCACTACTAACCCCACTTTTGTTTGTTTCTCTTTCTCGGTACGTTCCCCGCTCTTTTTCTCTCCTTCCCTCCACCCTCTGCTTCCCATCTCTTCCCTCCACCTCCTCCCTTAA